GGTGACTCTTGAAGTCATACTTCAAGTTGTTTTAAGGAAAGTATTAAGACTTTATTAGCAAAGAAGTATAAAAACTTTTTGTGAACATCTTTTTTGTATGTGATCCGAAAATTAGCGGAAAGAGGTTTTTATATATTTATTTTTATTTTATAAATAGAATATTTTAATTTAATATTTTTATAAAATAAATATTATAATCTAATTTTATTCTTATAATAAAATTTTAATTTAGTTTATATTATCTTATCAATTTTATATTTTTAAAATAATCTAATAATTTTGTTTCTAATAAATTTAACTTTTTTAAAAAATTAAAAATACAATTAAAAATAAATAAATAAAATATATTTTATAAATATTAATTAATCTGATTTGATATTTAAATTTTTGATAATATTTAAATTATAAATGTAAAATATAGCTGCTTTCAAAAATTTGAGTCCACTTACTATATTTTTATTATAAATTTCAACCTTGACAATTTTTAAATTCTTAATTATATAACTGAAAATTATAAAATTCATATATATTATACCTTAATACTTGTTTTATTTATTATATTTTTTTCAAAAAAATTTTTTATATAATTTTTAAAGTTTTATTATTACTAAAAAAAATTTTTTTATTAAATTTTTACTTTTGGAAAATTTTGATTGGCTGTTATCATAAATCATATGATAATTAATAAAAAAAAATAAAGATATTTAACAAGAATAAAATTTTAGAATATATTAATAAAAAATTTTTTAAAAAAATATAAGAAATAAAATAAGTATTTAATTTTTGATTATATAATTAATAATTTAAAAATTGTCAAAGTTGAAACTTATAATAAAAATATAATAAGTGAACTCAAACTTTTGAAAGCAACCATATAATAATTTTAATAAAAATTATTAATTTTAAATATAAAAAATTTTTATAATCTTATTAAAGTATTTAAAAAATAAATTTAAAAAATATAAGTTTAAAGCAATAAAAAATTTATTTTAGATATATTGACATTATAATAGGTTTAAAATTCAAGTTTGCAAAATTTTTATATAATAGTAATAAAAAAAAAATAATTTAAATAATATAAACTTTTAAATATAAATAAATAAGAATAAAGATTTAGCTGTAAAAAAATTTTTAATTAAAAAATATATAAATATTATGGCGTGACAAAGGCCGTTTATAAAAAAATTCCCATTTCGGGTTAACTGGGTGCCATCTGCCAAGTTCATACGTATGCACGTACGTACTTAAGCAGATCACGTATCATATTCATAACCAAGCATTATAAATTAAAAGGATTCGTAAGCTCAACACAACTAAGCCTCTATAAAAGGTAGAACTTTTTTCTTTTTATGCATTTAAACAACGATAACATTATTAAATTGCTTTCTTTTTCATATTAGCAATCGAAGCATTTATATCATAGCTAAAGCTATTATATATCAGTCGTAAAACTTTTTGTTAAAAATGGCAAGCATCAAAGTTTCTTACCAAGATACCATTCGTCGCTTCGCCGTTCCTAAGACCATTACTTGGCTAGAACTTGAATCCAATCTTCGAACTTTATTTTCATTTTCTCCTACTTTCTCTTTTGCACTGTCCTACACCGACGAAGATGGTGATATAATCACTCTATCCTCCGACTTGGAACTTCAAGATATCCTTTCTCAGACGCAACAACACACTCCTCTGAGATTCACTCTTATTCCTTATAACAAACAACCTAAAGAAAATGAAAATAATAAGCCAGTTATAGACCAACCTTCTCAATTTTCAACTTTTCAGCAGCAAACAATGACAGACGAGGAACCTTCATTCACTCCAAAAATTTCATCCGCTAAAGGAAAACAGAAAGCCGAACCTTCCTTGAGTGATCCTGACCCGTTTATACAAGAAGAACAAGACAATGAAGAGCAGACGAGGCCACCATTCATTGATCTGGCAGCACAATTTCAAAAAGTAATTGATCAATTACGTCCAATGATGGAGCAACAACCATATCTAATCGAACAGGCAAATAGAATAATGGATCAGATTTTACATAATATTCCAGTGAACATCGAGGAATGGACGCAATGGTTTAATGACAAAATTGCGGAAGCTCAAAGAAATTTCTATAACAATACAAATATTGATGCTATGGATGAAAAACAAACAAATTCCACTCAACAGCAATTCGAAGAATCGTTCTTCAATCCTCAGAACATTATAAATAATAATTTTGTTCAACGCATGAATCAGGCAGCTGCAAGTATTCCTTCTAGAATTAATGAGTGGCAAAATGGACGACTTATGACCGATGAAACTATGAAAGAAAAATTAGAATTATTGCGTTCAATGGGATTCTCAAATGATAAAAAAAATGAAGAACTGCTAAAGAAATATCAAGGGAATGTTGAAAGGGTGGTTGAAATCTTGATCGAAGATGTGGAATACTCTGTGGTGGATACTGAGATTCAAATGGAGGATTTTATTTTTTAAATGATAAAGTAAATGTAAGTGTATTTGGATAACAGTTCTCAATTATATGAAGCGAAATGATAGTATGAATACTTAATCGATATATTGCCAGACGAAAAAAAAAATTTTTTTTTTTTCATTACATAACGGTACATTATATAATATGTATCATTTCTTTCGAACAAATTAACAATAAAATAATAAATTTTTTGTAAAATATTTAAAGGATTCAAAAAAAATTTTTTTTTGCTGATTTACTTAACTTTGATAATATTGATTCTTTTAAAGTTTTTGAAGTCTACTATTTTTAAAATAGTCAAATCAATGGACTTATCGATATACAGATCAATAAAATTTTTTAATGAATTTTTTTTTTTTTTTTGGATATAGACTAATTATTTTTTTTTTATGACTTTGTCTAATATTAATTATTATATTAAAATTGTTATAAAATATATAAAAAAAATTATTTTTAAGATTTTTTTATATTATAACTAATTTGTCATTAGTACAATTATAAGTTTAATTAATAAATAATTTAAAATATATTATATATTACATTTAAGTTTAATTAAAAAAAATGAAGTTTTTTTTTTATTGATTAATAAAATAATTTTTATAAAGAATTTTTTTAAAAATAACAATTAATTCTTTAAGAATATTTTTTATATATTGTTTAAATTTGATTATCTATATAATGCTATTTATATAAACTAATAATAGTTTATTATAAAAATAAGTTACAGTGATGACCTGTAAGCAATGAACTTGATAGCTAAAGGATAATCCAAGTTATTAAGAGAACAAAATATCATCTCCTAAGTTGTATATAGAGAAGTTAAACTTTTAAGACAGGTGAGCTGTCATGTGAAAATCTTTTAAATTGTATAACATTTTTAAAATACACAATAAAGATAAACTGTGTCAGCCTGATGGTAGATTAAAAAAAAAAAAAATGTTTATTATAAAAATAATTTTCTTTAATCTTTAATTTTTTAAAAATTAATATTTACCTTTTCTATAAAGTATTTATAGTTTTTGTTATGTTAGATTTTATAAAAAAAATTATAAAAAATTATTGTTTCTATTGTTTACTAAAAAAAAATTTAAAAGTTTTTTGAAAAAATATTTTTTATTTTTATTAAATTAATAATATAATATTTTAAAATAAATAAAATTTAAATTCTTTATATTATCTTTTTCAATATACTAAGATTAATTATATTATAGATTTTAATTATATTTTAAAATAAAATATAAGACTTTTTTTTTTTTATCTTGTTTTTTTATAAACATTATTTCAATATTGTTTTATTTAACTTTTAAGTAATTATTAATAATAATTTATAAAAAATAAATTATCAATAAAATATTTATAATTAATATTATAAATGTATACTAGTCGAAAAACTCTTTTCATTGATTCTCTAATCACATATAAAAAAGATGTTCGCAAAAAGTTTTTTACACTTCTTTACTAATAAAATCTTAATATTTTCCTTAAAACAACTTGAAATATAACTTCAAAAGTTGTTTTTATTCTTTTTTTTTTGTTTACCTTTTTACTCAAAAACTTGACTCTTAATGATCAAGAAAAGTCAAGTAATACCTTTAATATCAATAGTAAGAAAGTTCTCAAAGGAAGAAGAAATGACTATAAAGTATCTGAAGACCTATCTAATCTTTAAAATGAGAGGTTTATAGAGGTTTTCTATATTAAAAAAACTTATTTTCTCTTTTTTTTGACTGGTTTAACTCTTTTAAAGTTTTCACTTTCATGATTCTTTGAAAAATTTTACCTAGTTCTATTCTAAATTTTGAATAGCACAAATTTTCATTAAAGGAAATTGGCTAATATAAAACATATTAGTTTTTTTTTTTTTTAAACCCTCTGTCAGGCTAGGTATGTGTGCTTTATTAAACATGTATATACTTTATATTAAAGATATATTGCTAAAGTTAAGTCTCTATCTAACTCACTCATCTCTATTTTAAGAATTATTAAAACTCTAAGTACAACTTTGGGAGTGATTTATTGCTCTATTAGTAATTCAGGTAAAGATCCTTCCAACTGTTAACTTCATTGCCTGCAGGTCACTACTGCAAATTACTCTGTGAGGTTCTGACAGAGCTTAAAACCCAACCATTTCATCCCATACCCTATTCTTCTTGTTAAAATTTTTCAAAGGCTTTCATCTTCAAGGTTTCTTTCTTTAAGTAGTAGATTTCTTTTCTTTGAGAGTGTAGTTTTCTGACCTGATAGACAAGGTCTTTTCACCTTGTTTTTTTTACTAATTCCGTGTATTCATTTCTATTCGATTACCTTTTCACATCTCTTGTTTCAGACTTCTTTTCGGATTTGGTCGCAAACTCTTTTTTGCATTTTTAATATCCACTTTCTTGCTGTTTTTCCTATATATTTATCATGACATTTTAGATTTCTACTTCTAAGATAAGGTTGATTCTTATAAGGTCAGTACAGAAACTTAGTATATTTTGACTTGTTCCAGAAGTCTGTTCTACTACTTTAGTGATCCACTTGTCAAACTTTTCTATTTCTTCACAGTTATCAATACTTAGCTTGGAATTTTTTTCTTCAACTTCTCTCTTTCTTTCCCACAATAGTTCTTTGAAGTTTCTAATGATTCCATCTACTCCTTTGTTATATACATATTGTAATTGATCTTTATATGCTGAGCATTCTAGCAAGTGTTCTATAGTTTTATCTTATTGACTACATGTAATATATTTTACTTGCTTATATAGATCCGATCTTCTTACAGCCAACTTACTTAAGATGGATAGTTCATTATTAGCCAGTTTAATAAGAAAGCTTCTTTGTTGAGATTGTTTAAAAGATATGTCCCACGTATGTCCATCCTTAACCTTTTCCCATACTAGGTCCCATGTGTGAGCTTGATGTTCTGAAATCTGATAACTCTATTTTTTCTCTGTTCTGTTTTGTTGTGTCCATTGGTAAGCTGTTGTTTTATTGTTGATATTCTTGAGAAATTGTCTAATTGGATCATCTAGAGTTATCCCTTGCCACTTGATTTCAGTTATAATTTTGTGTGAAGTGAAATCTTTCCATTCAATTAGTGGAAATTTTAAAGATTTCTTAGCTAAGACATCTGCTTCTTTATTATATGGATCATTTGAGTATGCCTTAACTTTTGTGAGCTTTAGATCTATATCTTTCTTTTTTACTAGCTCTACCATACATGTCCATAGGGACCAATTTTTTTCTTTGAGCTATCTCTTATGTGTCTTTTTTGGGTCTTCTTTTTCTAAGGATTTACACTTAGAAATATATATTTAATTATCTGTAAAGATCTCTACCTTGCTTTCAATTGGGACTATCAGAAGTATTGTTATAATTGCTATCAATTCTACTCTTGTAAATAAGGACCAATTGTTTACTCCTATTTGAAACTTGCTTTCTTTTCCTTCTTTTTCTATTTGGATCCAAGCTGTTCCCATCTTCATATCTTCTTTTCCATAATTAATAAGCGATCTGTCAGAATAGAAGATTAGTTTTTCTTTAGATCCAAGGTTACGTTGGAATATATCTATTAGATGGTCTTGATATGCTCCTTCTCTAATGAGTTCTTTAATAATAGCTTCTTCCCAGATTTCAATGTCGATATGATTTACTCTATCATTTTGAATCTTTAAAGGGCTTTGATTGTAAATTATTTCTTTAATGCTTTTTTTCAGTGCTAACTTGGGGTTGGGGATTTTTAAATCTTGTGTTCTTCTGATAGACTTTTTTGTATTGAGATATGGTATTATATATATTTTTTCTATTCCTCTTTCAAGAATATAGTCACTATTTAGAGTTGTGCCTTCTAAACATCCCAGATATTTTTGTATGTTAGTCTCCTAATTATTGTTGGAATTATGACTGGTAAAGTACTCTACTATTGCTATATTTCCCTTTTTTCTCATCTTAATTTCTCCAAGTTACTTGATTTCTTTTATTTCTTATTACTATTCACAATTTTTTTTGCTTGTCTCGATTAGAATCTATTTTTGAGTATTCTGGTTCTCATTTTGTATAGTTTTCTCTTTCAAATCCTATGAGCTGCTTTGGTTATTCTTCTGGAAGATTTTTGGCTATAATTTGATACCATTCTGATATGGGTCCTTTGCTTGTGTCTTATAGAAGCTGAAGCATTCACCAGTCTCTTATTTTTATGATTTCCTGATTGATAAGCTGATCCAGATACATCAGCTGATTGTTTCTAAGTGATGGTATGGCTTTTTTGTATTGTTTCAGTACTAGATATTCTCTGATCCAAAAGTTTTCCTTTTTTCATTCAAAGATATCTTTCATTTTCAACTATGAAATATTATTCCCATGTCTTTAGCAATTTTGATCACTTGAAGCAGAAAGTTTCCTTTATTTGTTAGATGGCTTAAGGATTTGCAGGTTAATAAATTAAATGGTTTCCAACTTTTAATCTGTGCTTGTTTGAGTCTAATAATTGTTGTGATTCCTGCTGGTCCGAGATTATTTAGTCTATTGCAAAGTCCCGTTACCTGACTTTCTCTTTATAACATCTAAACACTTTTCAAGTTATGAATCTTTGGATGATGGATTATGCTATTGGGCATTAATCTGCATAACTACTCTTATTCCTGAAAAGTTTTCTATATACTGTTATTAGGGTATTGCATATTTTCCAGAACAATATACTATGTTGTATTCTAAATTCTATTCTAGGTATTAAAACTTTATTTAAAATATAGAGGGCTTGTTTGTTTATTCCTTTTTTATATTTAAAGACTCTTGTTATAATGTTAACTTCTTTAAGTACTCGTTCTTTAAGCTCAATTGCAGTTTTTTGATTACTCATCCAGATTCCTAAGAATCTAGCCTGTTCTGTTCTTTTGAGCTCTTTAACCACTTCTTCTTAAGTACCTACCTTTATCTCTTTTGGATAGCAGTTAGGATTGTTAATGGTGACTAAAACTGATTTGTTACCATTTATTTGAGAATCGTTGGCTGTATAAAAGAT